AGTGATTTATATGAAAATTTTGCTCAAATGGCTTTAAATCCGTCTGCCAACCGAGTTCCTCGTACCACCCTTACTCGCGATATTCGAAAAATCGTGAGTGAGAAGAAACTAGTTTTAAAAGAAAATTTTAAATCTTTAAATCATAGATATCCATTTGTGCTGATATATGGTCCGATCATTGGATAAATAATTTTTATTTAGGGATTACTTGTCATTGGGTTGATGATAGTTGGACTTTACAAAAACGTTTAATCGCTTATGTTGCATTTCATGAACGACACACTGCTTCTAATATTGCTCGTTTAATTTCAAAAATCTTAGATAAATATAGTATTGGTAAAAAAGTATTTTCAATTTCATTTGACAATGCGACTGCAAATACTGCATCTATACGTGAATTAAATAATGTTTGTACACCAATCTGTGGGGGTAGATTTTTTCATATTCGTTGTATATGTCATGTTTTAAATTTGTGTGTTCAAGCTGGTTATCATGCTTTTAAGGATTCTGTGACGCCAATAAGGGAGGCCGTCAATTATTTGCATAAACGTCCCCAGGAAATGAAAGCATGGGGACGATTTTGTAAGAGTGTTGGAATTAAACTTAAAAAATTCCAGCCAGACGTGCCTACCCGGTGGAATTCAACATTTAAAATGTTGAATGTCACCGCTGATTATGCCGAGCATTTACAGGATTTTTTTAATGATCCAAACCGTAGGGATTGTGATGTTCGACCTTTGGCGAATGATTGGGCAAACTGTTCACAACTTACAAATTTTTTAGAAACATTTCAAAACGCTACTAATATTCTTTCTGGTGTTTACTATCCTACTACTCAACTTGTGGTCAGTCAATGTATAGCTATAATGTGGGGTTTTAAAGATATTTATGACTTAGAACCTTTTAAATATTCTGGTCTAGTAGAAGATATGTTACAAAAATGGCTAAAATATTATTATTATATTCCCGATACATTTTTAATTGCACGTCTGTTACATCCTACAGTTCGTGAGCAAGGTTTGTTAAATCAACTTAATATGTACTATGATTATATGTATCAATTGCCACTGCCGAGTGGGGTCCCGTCTTACAGGGACAAACCTAACATACCGCAGCTCGTCGAGCAAGCAAAAAATTTGTTGTATGACATGTTCAGGGAAACAGCGATCGCACATGGAGAGTCTCCCAGCACATTTGTTCGTAGCAGCGGCGCAAGCGGCAGCGGGTCTTCATCTTTATACGGAGGGCAAAGCGGCAATACAAACTACGAAAACTTCAAAGTGTTTTGGGATTCATTAAATCCCTACAAAAATTCGGGCGGTCAAAGGGTGCAGGGGACTGGATACTATGAGCTGGATCACTACCTTACGTCGAATTTAGCCGTTACGATTGCACGTCCACCTCAACCGCCACTCAATTTCGATGTGTTAGATTGGTGGTCAAGAATGAAAGGAATTTTTCCTATTCCATGCATTATGGCCAAGGAGATCTTTGCTGTCCCAGCATCTACAGTCGCGGTTGAGCAAGCATTCAGTGAGGGCGGCTACATGCTAGATCCACGACGGTCGAGGATGACGCCTGATAATCTTCAAGCACAAATGTTACTGAGTGATTGGAAGAAGGCCGAACGAAGGATGCAAACTGCTATGCTCACTTCGAATGAGGAGGATGACGACAACGACGATGCATCCAATTTTACGTCGTCGACAAGTGGAACCGGGGGGGACGTCGAAGACGAATACAAGTATTAAAGGTATGCAGCCAAGGTATGTGATTTAGAAGAACTACGTGGACTTTGATTCCCAAATAAAGGGATACGTAGGCACCTTATTTAACATTATTAAGTTCGAGTATAATTTTTTGGCATCAAAATTTTTCATCGTACACGATATTCGAACTTAATAACTGTTAACTAAGCTCAAGTCCATTCCATTAATAATTTTTTTCTTTACACTTATTTTTTAAGTATATACAAACTATTTATTCAAATAAACATTAATATACATTAAAATGATAAAAATGAAAAAAAAAATTAAAAACCCGTGAACCCGGCGGGCCCGGCCCGAACCCGGCTCAACCCGTCGGGTTTTTTACCCGGCGGGTTAGGGCCGGTTCAGTGAACCGACCCTTACTTACCAGCGGGCCGGGCCCGGTTCACTATATGCTAACCCGCCGACCCGGCGGGCCGGGCCGGGTTTCGACCCGGCCCGGCAAATGGCCATGTCTAATGTGATATGAAAAGTGTGCAAACAAGAACGGGTAAAAAATACTTTATTACTTTTATCGATGATTGCACAAGGTTTTGCTACTTATATTTGTTAAGAAGCAAAGACGAGGATGTGGAAGCATTCAAGATATATAAGACCGAAGTTGAAAATCAACTCGGAAAAAAGATTAAAATAATCCGAAGTGATAGGGGTGGAGAGTATGTAGCTCCTTTTGAATAAATATGTTCTAAATATGGCATAATTCATCAAACGATGACCCCTTATTCTCCACAATCGAACGGTGTTGCTGAACGCAAGAACTGTACGTTAAAAGAAACGATGAATGACATGTTGATAAATTCGGGACTACCCCAAAACATGTGGGGGGGGAAGGAAGCTGTTTTAACAGCAAATTATATCCTGAATAAAATATTACATAAAGGGAAAGATGAGACTCCTTACTAAATGTGGAAAAATCGTAAGCCGTCTTATAAATACTTGAAAGTGTGGGGGTGTTTGGCTAAGGTTTCAGTACCTGAACCTAAACAAGTAAGAATAGGACCAAAGACGGTCGATTGTGTATGATATAGGATATTATACCCACAAGGTTAAACCGGTCTGCTGACCAGTCGAGGAGTTTATACTGTGGGAAGTCGAGGAAATCGAGCAATTAACTAGTCGACGAACCTATCCTTCGACAGATGGACGATCGAGCAATGCAGTCGACCTCGATCGGTCGACCACTTTGTGGACTGAACACCTCATAGATCGGCCTAGTCACATGCGCGTGAGAGAGCCTATAACCGAATTTCAGGAGTATATTTGCCCCATGTGCAGGGGAACACGTGTCGAGAATGCATTGGTTGATAGCGATAACCACCTCTGACAGCCTACCCCATGTGTAGGAGGACACGCATCCAAAGAATATTGGTGCAGGCGATAGTGGCGACGGCTATCTCTGACACACGCGTATTGTGTGTACGGACGGGCAGTTAGGGCAGACAGCTCACCAAATCTGGGCAGCCCTAGGTCAGGTATCTCACCCCTATATAAAGGGGGTGAGCTTTTCTTCTTCAACACGATCATTCCATTACTTACGCTTGAGAATTGATTGAATATACACTGACTTAAGCTTCGGAGGCTCTTCACCTGAAAACCCCTCCGGTGTGAGAGCTCTTTCTAGGTGCACGACGTTCAACCAGCGAGAAGGAAGGCAATTATTCAAGTTCCAGCCGTTCGGGAAGCTTTGTGTTACCATTTGGCGCCGTCTGTGGGACTTTTGTTCGAAAGGTTGTGTTTGAAGCTCAACTATGGCGGACGGAATTCCCAGAACCAACTTGCAGTCGACGTTCGACGACGCTTGGACGACGACCAGGCCGATTGGACAAGGCCCTCCTCCGAGTTTCTCTGGTCCCTCATAGACGTCGGTCACTTCTACACCTGTCCTTCAAGGTATAGGAGCGACGACGGCGATTCCCAGAGGAGACGTCAGCTCTAGTCGTGCTCAAGAAGCTCGCGCAGCAGCTGCGGTGGCGATGCCATCGCCGCCGCCCCAGAATCCAGTGGTGGAGCAACCAGGGGGAACGACGGGGCAAGGAGGAGCACCACCGCAAGCAGCGGTGCAAGCCCCTGGCCAGCTGGTGGTGATGACAAGGCAGGAGATGCAATAAATGGTGGCGGAGGCAGCTGCGCAGGCGGTGCAGCAGGTCACAAATAGTCTCTCTCGAACTACCACGGTACCGACCACTGTGGCGGGGTCACGCCAAAAAGCAGAAGAGGATGAATCCAGCTACGGCAGAGGTGGGCCCCCACAGGATCGAGAAATGGAGAGAATGGATGAGCAGCTGCGACAATTGCAGGCCAAGGTGGATGTTCGGACGGAGAGACGCGCTCGAGGGCACCCGTTCTCGACGGACATACTAGTCGCGCCCT